ACATGCAAATATACAAAATTCCAAATCATCATCCTAACTAGCATATTATGGAGCAACTATACTACAAAAGTCTAGTTAGATGACATACCTTTTGATGGAGCTTGAAGTCTTGAACCTTTGAGAGCTTAGCCCCAATAGTGTAGAAGCCTCAAATGGAATCACACAACACCACCAACAAATGGAATAACTTGAGAAGAAGGTTACTTTGGTTCTCCCTATGAAAATCGACCCTTGCCCTCTCTTTGTGTATCCACTAGTGTCATTTCATGAACCATGGGATCCTATATATAGTGTGGCTCATTAGGGTTACACCATGTAAACCCTAATGTGCATGACTTTCCATTTCCTTCATGATCCATGGGTTTAACCTCCATGGAGTATCCATGGGTTACCATATGGGTTAAGCCCAACATGAAGGACAATGGATCACAAGCTCACATATATAAGAATGAATGAAATCAATCCTCATATATTTAATTAGTCTCTTTTGATCACAAAATTAATTCCAAATTAATTCTTGATCAATACTAATTAAATAATATGATTTCATATTAATATATTAGAACTTATAATATATTAATATAAATCATAAATAACCTTTTCTCACTTGTCTATCCAATTGTTTCGATGTCATGCAACCCAAATGGACCATGCTACTCTCAGGTCGAGTACATACCAATAATAGTTATGAGCTTAGACATCTAATCCAACAAAACTTACACTTTGAGAGACTACTACACTTTTAGAATATTTGTTGATTAATTAGTAATTTCATTAAAATTTACAAATGTTCACATACACAAGTAGTATAGTTTATTGTAAATTATATCAAAAGGATAAAACTAGTTAAATAATCATATGGTTTGATGAAATAAGCATAAATTATAGTCCAACTTCAACATTTGAAAGAAAAAAATAGAAATTTTCCTTTACCCAAAGTAGGAAGATAGACATTGTGTCTAATTATATGTAGGGATGTTATTCGGTCTAGAACCGGAAACCAAATTTTACCAAGGTTAAGACCAGAAACTGGACCGGACTGGTTATACGAATACAAAACCGGTTTGAGTATTAACCAGTAGGACCAAAAAATATAGGCAAATTACATTGGAACCGACAAGAACCGGTTTTGACTTCTAGAACTGGAAAAACCGGGCTTTTTTGTTAAAAAGGATATTTTCAAGGGTTGTTTGGTATTTTTTTTAACTCAGGGGCTGTTTGGTACTCTTTTTAAACTGAGGGGCAGTTTTCATGTTTAATCTTTTTGCATTACTTAGCTGAGGGGTTGTTTACATGGACAGTTATGTGGTACTTGCTTAACTTTTGTTTTAATCCTTTGTATGCACTAGTACAAAAAGCGTTTAATGATGCAATTAAATTGATTATTTAGTGCGGGTATTGAACTGCACCTAATAGCATCAAAAAACATCTCTATTTAATGATGCGGTTTCAAAACCGCACAAAAAAATAGTCAAACCCGCCCCAAAAAATATTTCTGAAAAATAGCCAAAACCGCACCATTAAATAAGAACCGCACCATTAAACATCATCATCTTCCTTGCAGAACTCTGGATCATAAAACCATGTCTCATCAACTGCAACTTCAGGAGGTTTCGAACCAATTCTTCCTGTAAAAAGAGTGAAGTATTTGGGTATCAGCTAAAGCTTTAAAAATGTCATTTAGGTTAAGCTCATGTAACCATCCCTATTCAACCATCCACACCACCGCACCTGTTATAGCCACAAGATGAATTAAGATAAATTCCTTATTCAATGCAATGAGATTAGCTTTTTTTGCTAGTTTCTTGATACGAGATGAAAGTAAATACATACAGTACACAAAGTTTCAAGACAGAGTACAAACATATATACCCACTTGCTAATACAACCAAGCAAATATTATATAGGCAGTCTCCATGTTAACAGTCTACGCCATCAAAAATAAAACTACTTACTACAAAAAAAGTTGTTGCTTTTTCTGCAACCACACCACCGGAACATCCACTGCCTGCCGTCTTCACCTGAAAAACATCACCACCACTGTTAATAATAAAAAAATAAATAAATAAATAAATAAATAAAAGGAAGAAGAAAAGAAGTGGTAACATTATGGAAAGGTATGTACTAAAGGAGTAAAATAGTTGAACACTTGGTGGGCAAGATTTAAAAAGAAGATGGAGGAATATCCACCTGTTACAGCCACTAAAAAACCATTGCCACATTCTTAACCATCAAAAACCGCTGCCATCTTCACCGGAAACCCATCCCCACCACTCTACCACTCTGAATAAAATAAAAAAAAATAAAAAAAAGGAAGAAGAAAAGATGTAACATTGGCAAGAATTAAAAACATGAGGGAGGAACTTACCAAGTTGCCATCATCCAGAAGGATGGATGGATGGAAGAATCACAAAGACGAAAGTATAATTGTTTCTTGGATGAGTAGAACACCGGACAAACAAACAACAATAATGCTTCCTATCACAACTATATAATATGAAGTGTGGAGGGAAATGAAAAATTAGAACCAAATTTTGAGGGGGGGATGAAAAATTAAATGGTGCCGGCATTTAATGGTGTGTTTTTATAATGTTTAATGGTACGGTTTTCAACTAACGTATCAATAATGCACCATAAAAAAAAAACCAATCACACCATTAAATGCTTTCTTTGCTAGCGATGGCAGTCATTTTCCAGAAGTTGTGTGTTGCATGAAGTTACAAATGTATTCCTCATGACAAACTATGAAAAAACATTAATTGTTAGTTACCAAACTAAAGGTAAGGATTTAATAGTGCAAAATAACGGTAAGGAATAAAACAGAATTTCCAACATTTGTTGTGTTTTTAAGCATTCCATTTTAATTTGTAGTTTTATAGAATATGGAATTCCGAGGAAGCTAGTTTGGTGAACAGCTTCAGTAATCATGAGCGTCTTGACAAAGGGATACCAAAACTATGCATGGTGAATGAGCTTGATGATGAAAGCTTGCTGCTTGTAGCCTCAAATATGTTTACCTTTTTTCTATTGTTATTATCTCATGCTTACTGATATAGTTTGTTTAATATTAATATTATTTACCTAATTAATACCGGCGATCGAAATGTGCATATATGGAAAGATTACACTTTCAGGGGTAAACAGAAACTTGTAACTTAAGAACCGAGTAAGCCCATGATTGTTGGAACCGGACCCGAAAACCAATTAAGCCCAAATCTTAAAAACGGGAACTGAACCGGAATTGCTTATACGGTCCTAACCGGTTCTGGTTCTGGTTTTGATCCAGTGTTTCAGTCCAAATGCTCATCGTTAATTACATGTATTAACAAATATTACCTAAATCTAAAGAACTCAAATAAATCATTATTTTCCCAACAAAAAATAGCTTGAAGTTAGAACTAATAAAAACATCATTTCTCTCCTTCACATTCGTGCCTTTTGTAAGTTAAAATAACACCAAATCATGTTCTTATTAAGTTCATTAAATAATCATGTGTGTAGACTAAATCATGTTGTTATTAAGTCCATACACATTACACAATCAATAACTACCGGAAAATAAATAAGACAAATTAGAAATGGACTACAGCATTAAACACCAATATATAATAAAATTTTATGAGCCAAGAATATTATATACAGTACCAACAATTAACGTTTTGCAATTAAAACGGCCATTATAAGTATTTAATATCTTCTTAATCAAAATCCCAAGGGGCATCTATCAGTTAACCTCGTCACCTTTAGGAGTATGATCAAGCAAGACACTTCCTAATCTTCGCTTTCAACTGAATCACTATCAGACCAATCACTAGTAACATCAGGAAACTTGATATTTGATGGAAAAATGAAACCTTTTGCTTCCAAACGAGATACAATCTACAAATAGTTTAATACAACAAAAATTTAGAATCAGCTAAGAATACTTGAGACAAGTTTATGTAAGAATAATCAATGAAGTACTAGTACTATACTAAAGCTAATGATCATATGATTTTTACAAAGACATAAATTGTCAAAGCAAAAGAAAGTCTACCTCAGAACAGAAACCCTCAATTTTAAGCTCCTTCACATGGCGAAGATTTAGTATAAACCTTTTTAGCATCTCTTCTTCCTCTTTATCATATGTTGTCTCCCAATGGCCAGTCCTTTTAAAATCTAACTTAGCTTCAACTTAAGAAGACGTATTTAACAAAAAAAGGTTACACAACACCAACTCACGTTCGATTGTTAGTGATAAAATATTAGGAGCATTGATTTCAACAGAAAACTCCTCATATTCATCATCAAGATCCACGTATCCAAATAACACCAACTTCTTAACAATCTTTGAAGTAATATTGAGCACCCTGTAACCATAGCAACATTCCAATACCAAAGTTTCCAATAGAGGACTACCAGATAATATGTTTTCAGTCAGCTCTTCATCTAACTTCCTATGTGAAATACGCAAACTCCTAAGATTTTTCCAACTAATTGCCCCAATCGGATTGATTATGCAGCCTGATAATTTCAGATATGTACACTAGTACAAAACGTATCTAATAGTGCGATCGAGTTTTTTTTTTTTTGGTGCGGTGGAAATCTAAAACCGCACCATTAAACACTTTCGCATTAATAAACTTAGGAACCGCACCATTTAAAGCATTTGTTGGTGCGGTTTTCTTATATCCGCATTAAAAACGCATTATTTGATGCGTTAGTTCAAAACCGCACTATTAAACTCATTTATAAAAAATGGAAACCGCATCAATAAAACTTTGGAAATAGCAGCATTTATTTATTCTTCCCACTAAAAATTTCATTCTAATTTTTTCGTTTCCCTCCCAACTTTTGGTTAATCGCATCAATTAATGGGAACCGCATCAATAAAATATTTATGCCCTATATTGTTTGTGTATTTTGCCCATTTGAAGATAACACAAACCGGAGAACCAATTTCTTTTTTCTTCCTTCTTGTCTTGTTTTGATACAAGTTTGGTGGCGTCGGGTTGTTTAAGCTAGGTGGAATAAGGGTGGTGGATCGGAAATATGTAGGAGATGGGACGGTTCTCAGCAAAGGCAGGGCTCTGTGGCCGGTGTTCTCGGTGGTTAGTGGTGGAGATGGCAGGTGGTATAAGGGTGGTTTGAGGTGGCAAGATGGTTAACCGGAGGTGAAGAAAACTCGTGAAGATGGTGATGGGGTCAACTGGGGCTGTAGGGTGTTCTTTGTAGTTGTAATGGTTGTATCCGGCTAAAGCAGGGCAGATGGCAATGGTGTCCACTGGTGGTGGTTTATTGTTTTGTTAGCTCGGCTGTGAAGATGGTCGATGTAGAGTTGCTCTCGGAAAAAGTGGTGTGGTTTGGTGATTGTTGCGTTCACCGCAGCAAACAGGCGGCGGTGATGATGGTGGTTCAAAGGCGGTTTCCGGTAGGTGTTTGTTCTCAGCCAGATGGTGGTTTAAGGGTGGTTACCTCTATCTAACATGTGCCTTGCATTCTTTTTCTTTTTTCTTTTTGGGCCTTGCAGCCCCCGTTCTCAAGTTTAGACAGTATAAGCTCGTGACCTGCTATTTCAGAGGCACACCTTGGTCTCTTCATAATTTGATCAAAATAAATGTAGAACAAAACACTACTAGAAAAACAGCCTTTTACGACGCGCAATGTGTGTCGTAAAACGCTCAGACAACGCGCAAATGCGTGTCAAGGAAGGCCCTGTCATAACGAGAGACGACACGCTTTTGCGCGTCGTCTATAGACGACGCGCATTTACGACGCGCATTTATGACACGCATTTACGACGCGCATTTACGACGCGCATTTATGACACGCATTTACGACGCGCATTTACGTGTCGTAACCTTACGACACGCGTGTTTATGACACGCAATGCGTATCAAGCCCATGTCATAAAGAAAGAAGACACGCATTTTTGCGTCTCATAATTTTAAATGTTTTTAAAATTATATTTTTGATAGATTTACTAATTTTCAAATTAAATAACACATTAAAAGTGTCATAATACAAAATAAAATACCATAAACAATAAAGATAATTCATTGCACTAATATGTCAAATACAAATAATCATTCCAATAGTAAGTAAATGTAACACATTGCTAATATTGCATAATATTTATTATAGAAAACAAAACATGTACAACATTAAAAGAAACCCATGACTAAATTCTCCTTTGACAATCTCCTTTGACAATTTCTTTTCTAAAAGAATAACCTGATGCAGGAACTTTGAGAGGCTTCAGGGCATGGAAGGAGGTTGCTAGAGATGTCAGAACCTGCACATGGCAAATCGGTAACTTAACATGCAATACAATACAAGATGATATGATAGAGCTGGTATGGCATCCAAACTCAGCTAACTAACAACCATTTTCTCACACAGTATAGACTGTTTTTGGACCGGATGATAATGGAAAGTAACTTAGGGAGTTAAATGAGTATTTACTAGGAGAAAATATATCCTCTAGAATTTTCTTTCTTTCATCACCCGTGGACACAAAGCGTACCTCAACTTTGAAATTTCCTGCAATGCCAATAATCAATAGTGAGATTAGTCTTACTTCTCCCTCTCCCTCTCATCTCATTAAGAGATTATTAAACACCAATATCACCATATACATTTACTTCTTCTCAGTCACTACATGCATCACCAATATATGCATGTGAGATGCTGGGCATTTTTTGATTAAATATTTCATCCGCAAGACCTGATGACAAATGTGTGTTAGATTATATTAATTATATGCTCAAATATAGAAAAGTGCAAAAATCTAATGTGTGCCTAATGTTGATCCTACATATTTCATGAAAAATCACTAAAAATAAATTAACCCTGAAATTTACATATAAATAGTAATTTTCATAGTTCATACCAGCAATGTTTTTGCCCCCATAGTAAACATTTGTTGTATCAACAACCGGATACACACCTTCTCCAAATACATTTTTGCATAGATCCAAATGATACTTGTTAATTAAAATAAAAAAATCATGAAACTTGGATTTTATATTAATGATTAAAATGTGTCATTTGTTGATATGTACATGCCTTATGTCAATATTTGAAGAACAGAAGCTATCATTTGAAGATGCCACCTGGAAATATGCTATTACCAAATCATGGCCTTGGTTGCTCTCCATCTCCTTTTCGACCTTCCATGCCCAATATATTATGCTGTAAAAACACCACAAAGGATGTAAATTATTCCATTCCGTTTCGTGTTTCGTTGCAAATCAACGGAATTCCCTTCATATTATTCCATGTTCACAATTCCTGAAAGGTACTCGATTCCATTCTTTTTTTATTAAAAGACCAAAATACCCCATTATTGGAATAATAATAATAAAAATCCCCATTACTGGTAGAAGACAAAAATACCCCATAATTGCAATAAACAAAAATGCGAAAACAGAAAGATGATACCATATCCTAAGTTAAATGCAAAAAGGGCATAAATAGAACTAGGTTATAACCTGTTGCCTTTTGGGACCATAATATGAAGAATCAGGGTAATTTTTAACACTATCTGGTGCCAACCATGGTGAATCATGTGGACCCATACTTCTGAAATGTTGTCCTTCCTTTGCATCACGGAAATCAGGACCCTGGTCCTGTTATATCATTCATATACAGAGGCCATAGTCAAAACAGGATAAAATATGCAATATATTTTTTACACCCACAAAAGCTCCTTTCCTGTTTTCCATTTTTTTTAATATCGTTAAAAGGGAACTGCTGATGCCACTTACCCACAGACTCTTACAGGGTTTAGCCTGCTAATAAGATAAATACTAGACTCGGAGCTAATAACACGGAGAAAAAGGTGAGCTTATATACCTATAAAAAACTATACATCATCTTCACTACAAACTTGGAACCACCATAACCGGTCAGCAGATTCATACACATTTGAGAGGTTAAAACATCTTAGAACAGGGGCATTATGGTCACATAAATGCTACCATTTATATACAGTTTCACGGGTAGTGTCCTATACAACTCAGCAATCCCCTGCTGATGGTGGGCTGAACCTTTTTGCAGGTGCACCAAGTTTCCGATCAAGTTCAGGCGTGCCAGGGACAACAGTGTCCGGAAAATTTAGATCAGGGGTGTTATGGTCATTTACCGGTTTTCCATGTTCAGCAACTAAGTCAGCTTCTTCATGGAGATTGCTATCTAGCCCTGCAGCAGGCTTCTTTTCATGCCCCTGAACATGATCAAAAGACTTTTATCCAATCAGCAGTTATCCGTACAATCTTGACAAACCTACCTTAAATTTTATTCCCAGATATACCCTTTCGGTTTTTAACTCGGTTCATTACAAAGCAATGTTTTTTGTTCAATCAATAGAGAATTATATGTCCATTAATTTAATCATGTAGACTGGATAATGAGACTTCCTGATAAATGCCATATAAATTGCAACGTTTAAACTGACATCTACTATGTGTCAAAAGTCTAAAATACCCTTGGATAAAATAATTATAAATTAACAAGAGCTGCGAACCTTTTCTTGCAATAGTGTTCTTCGACGTTCTTTGGCTCTACAAATTGCATTTCGTATTCCATGGTTGTCCATGCTCCCTTTTGGCCACAAAGCCGCAAGCTTGACAGCATAAAAGAAAAATATTTTTCCTAAATTAGATAAATCCATTTCCTGGGAGATAATTATTATTTCATTTTATTTAGGAATTATCTCCTAAATTAAGATAGAACCCTTTTAGGTTAGGTTTAGGTTTAGTTTCCATTGAACTCAAAACCGGTAAAGAGTGTCATTTATGCCAAATTCAGTCAAAAAGCCACTGAAAACTGATAAGATGACGATTATGCCCTTCAATTCACTTGTTATATTTAAAAATGACATGATGAAACACTAACATAAGAGGAGTAAGTAAAACATAGCATGAAAACAGAAAAGATGACCATCATGCCCTTGAAGAATTGGATGATGTTATATAGGCACAAGGTAATGTGGTAGAGAAGAGAAAAAGAGAAGACTAGCAAGGGTAATGTAGACTATTGTAGTACGTTGTAAATATAAATGTTTTTTTAACAAGCTTTTAGTTTAGTTTTTATGTTTGGTAAACTAGACTCTTGAAGCTTTAGATTAGTATCAAGTAAAAAAAATAATGAGCATTTTACTCTCTGAGTGTTTGACTATCAGTCAAATGTCATAAATACCCTTCAACAAAGCAACTTTTAATAAAGAAATCGGCATACAAAAAAAAGGCAAGAAATAAGAGGGTGGTATCCCAAGAAAACAACTACCTGAATGTAGAATTTTTGTATTTCTGAGTTTTTAATTTCATCCATCGCCTGTTTAATATAACAAGGAAAATGAAGTATATGTCCATTATTAAGTCCAATATAAATAAAGTGTTATAATTCTAAGTTACTAACCCCTTTTCTAGACCATGAAAGGGACAAGATTTCTCCACCATGTCCATGGAACTCATGAACAGGTTTCTCCAAGATTTTGAAGACTTTAGGTGGTAGAATAACACAAGCCACTTCTGATGATTTTCTGCAAATCACAAGTCAGAAATAAAACATCGATCTTTTTACTTGAAAGTTGTAACATTTCCTTTTTCAAGAAGTTCTAGGATGGAAGTTACATATTTACCCATTATCATCGTTGTAAATAAGTAAATAAACTAAACGTAATTGATTTGGATCCACAAGGTTGCTTTACTTTAACTTTACTAAAGGGTATTTTAGATATTTGAAAAAAGTTAGTACAATAATATTGAGCTATATCCACGTCAAAAGCCACAATTTATGAAAAAGATATAAATCCATGAAAATAAAACATAACTTAAAAAAGAGTTTCAACCAAAAGCTACTTCCCATTTCTTATTATAAACACAAACAACCCTCATGAACTATGACATCAAGGAGATACAAAAGATAGAAGCTTAATCAATGCACAAATTCAGTCTACTGCATGCATGGTTAATAACAATCGCTATAAATTATTATGAAACCCAAAAGAGATTAGAAAAAAGTACCTTCAATGTGAAATATGGCTTTCTGTCCAAGGCGCATCCTATGTTCCTAAAAAAAGAAAAAGAAATATCAATACTAAAAGAATAATGGTTTTTTAAAAAAAAAAACTTTAATGGGACAACAACATGAACAGTGAACTCACATAATATGCTGCCCAATGACAGACCTCATTGAATTCATTCATGATATTGCCAAATAAATTTACCAATTGATCAAGGAAAGGGATTCTTTTCATATCATTGTAATCGATGATTAGCTGGAAACAAAATACATTAACAATATTAAGTAGTGAGGATTAACATGAAATAAGTTAATAATGATAATGAAATTGAAAGCTAGTTTGAAGGAAAGTTGGGTCAAATGTCCAAACAAGGATACATCAATCAAAATAAAGCTGGAAAGCAAATGTCATCATAACTTGGATCAGGACCTTTTATCTGTTTAACAGAATGGAAATCAATGGCTGAACGCATCTAGTCCTTGCACTCTGAGGGAACAGCCTCTGTTGACTTCCCTCTTGAGTATCAACAACAAGCCGAAATCCACAGAAGAAGGTATTATTATTTCCATCATCAACAGTTGGTAGATCCTGAAAGTTTGAGTATTAGCAATCATGTTCAGACATATTTCATGACATTAATGTTGATAATACAACCTTGGCTTCGATTATCTGGACTGCAACATAACATCGTCCCTCCCTTGAATCCTCAACCGCATTTAATCGATCCGAGTATCTTGAAGGTGGAATCCACACAGAAGCACTATCATCATAGTGCAGCAGGCTAACTGCATTAGAACTTTGATCAAACTTCTTCAAGTAAATGTCACATCCAAGTCTGTTCTCTATGGTTACTGTCTGGAATTCATCCACATCCAATGCAGAAAAAGTGAATTGTCTTCATCAATGATACGACTGCTAGTTTCCTGTTTATTCACAGAGAAAAGGGAAACATCAATTTATGTAATTGAAATACCAGAAATTGTTGAAGATAACTGATAACATACCTCATTTAACTTGATTTCCTTTTGTTCTAGTTCTCTCAGTCTTTTCCAAGCAAGGATGGTTTCAGCAAAAGTATCAATATTTGCAGCACTAATGTTTACATTAAGGACACTTGTAGCTGCAATCCGAGCTTTTTTTCCTGCTTGCTCATTCGTGTCGCAAGCTTAATGTTGGTGACAGTAACATCAAAAAAAGGTGTTATCTGCAAAAACGTATGCAACATGAGTGAATAAGAACATATAAATTTTTTGACAATAGACAAGAAAAATATACCATTCCACACAGACTGTCTAAAATGGTTAGAGAGAAGCATTTCAATTTTATTTCTGCCATTATGTTGTCTCGTGTCTTTGGTTTCACAGAATCACCAATAGTAAACGCCAGGCGGCTTGAAGGCTGCTTCATGTCGGACCGTGCAAGGAAAGTGTTGGCCTAAAAATTATCCAAAAAAAAAAAACAAAACGGTTAATAAATACTTAAAAAGAATCTAATGCCCAATTTTAACAATTACAAATCCTGACCTGATTATCAACTTTCCAGATACTCCAGCTTTGGTTTACTTTTGAACTTTGATATTTGGATATTGGATTCTCATGAATATTAGCTTGGGTAACAAGATCGTTCCTTGGACAGCAAAGGATATTCAATTTTGGCATTTTATCTACACGAGTAACTACACAGCCCATAGAAGCATAACCTGGAGGTGCAATTGGGTACCAAAAAATGGCCTCATCCACACCTTTGATTATAATATGAGCGACTTTAGTGAACTGAACAGGGTTTGCACAGAGGTCACCACTGTCAGCCTTAAAAATTATCCCCAACCTAGGCGGCTCCAAACTGAGAAGGCGAAAAAAAAATGCTTAACCAAATAAAGATTTTTAGAAAACAATGAGAAAATGAAATATACTGTATAATACAAGAAAGATGTCTAACTAACCCTTCAGTTATGCAGTCACCTAAAATCTTAAATCCGGGACGTGGAATAGGTCGCCACACGGACATTGGTCTGCGGGTTTCAGCACTGCAATACAAAACAGCCGAAGATCAAAAACATCCAGAGAATTCATTGATGCAAAATTTGCATGTTCAAGATATGGAACAAAACGTGAACATGACAAATCATTCAATCGACCACATGGCAGAAATAGAACCAATCAAGATCCTGAAAATGCTTCTGGAAGAAGATCATGTTCCAAAACAGATTGCAATGCAAGCATGCATGTAAAAAGAAGACCTGATGGAAAATGGATCATCCATAGATTCGAAAAAGAACACAACCATGAACTTTGACCTGCTCAAGCTGTCAGTGAACAAAGAAGAAAAATGTATGCTGCCATGGCTAGACAATTTGCAGAGTACAAAAATGTTGTTGGTTTAAAGAATGGTTCTAGTAACCCTTTTGATAAAACCCGTAACACAGCTTTAGAAGCAAGAGAGGCGAATATACTCTGCAAATTTTTTGTCCATATGCAAAGTATAAAATCTCAAAGACAAGAAACGAAGATTCAAAGATGCATACCTCAAACAAAATTCATTCAAAAACATCAAAGAAGATAGTATTTCTCAAAATCAGAAACGGTTTCTGATTCTTCTCTTTAAACCGGATAGACTGCCTTTCGAATTTGTATTTGACTCTTCGGAATTAATGAATCGATTTGACGATTTGGCTTTTAGGAGAACTGGAGATCTAGAGTGTGGAGATGTCGAGAACGATGAGAAGAAAAGAAGAAGGATAATCGGCGGCGATTAATAACGAAGCAACTCCTCAAGTTAGGCGTGTGTTTCCCTAGAAATCTGTTCGATTGCTTCGATTTAGGCGTGAGATGCTGTAATTTCCCCTTTGTTCGTGTTCAGCTCCACTGCCCTGGGCTAAAAAAAATTAATATAAGATTAACTTTGGCCCAATTAAACTATACATACCATAAAAGCTCTCGAAAACTTGATGCCCCCAAGATCAATGATGCCCTGGGCCATGGCCCTACTGCCCCCGTGGGCTGACCGTGGTCGACAACTTGCTATTCTAGAAGATTGTTTGTCATAAGATGGTAAACGAGCACCATGACAACCACTACAACCACCATCTGTGCAACTATAACAACCGAAGCAAGAAGATATGGTATCTGTGATTAGGGTTTGTAGAGAGAAGGGAAGAAGAGAATGAAGGGAGATCTTGAAGCGGGGTATTTAAATTTTTTAGAATTTTAAGAGGATTTGATTTCCCCCTTGAAAGCGCGTTTTGAGTGAAAAATTATAAAGCGACACTCACACAGAGGACGCACATTTTAAATAAGCGCCCTCCGTGTTTGTATTTTTTTGTGAGCCAATAATTTTTATGGCACGCAAAAATGCGCGTCCTAAATTCTTCAAATTTCTAAAGATCTGACATTATTTTTAGGGCACGCCCTTTTGTGTATCATTAATCAGTGCGCGTCGTAAAAAGCGCGTCATTAAAGGTCTGTTTTCTATTAGTGAAATGATGATATTAATAAGATTATTACATTCCTACAATTGCAATATCTGGAAATGAATTATGTAAGGTCGTGTTATTTATTTGAAGCAACAAACAGAGGTTTTGACTAATCACAAATCGTTGTTAAATTTCCAAACCTAAGAGAAGTGGAATTGGTAGTTTCTGGAATATATGGAAGAGTAATAAGTGGGGAGGATTTGGTGCGATGTTTCTTTTTTTTGGAGCGGTTTTCCTATTTGGTGCGATTTGTAAGAATTGTTTATTGGTGCGGTTTTCATCGTTTTCTAATGCGGTTTGTATAGTTCTTAGATTATTGTTGATGCGGTTTGACTATTTTTTGGTGCGGTTTTATAACCGCTCCATTAAATAAAGGTATTTTTTGATGCGATATTTTTTGGTGCGGTTCAATACCCGCGCCAATTAAACATTTTAACCGCATCAAGAAATGTTTTCTGTACTAGTGGTAAAACATGTGTTGATGAAGAAAATTTGATCGAATACAAACTCAGTTCCGTTTCCCGTATTGCATAAGCTTAAATTAATCTCTTCAACCATTTCCCGTATTGCATAAGCTTAAATTAATCTCTTCAACGTGACAGCTTACAGCATAACGAATCCAATTGTTGAACTCTGAGTTAAATCGGGTATTATAAGAGGCATTCAATTTGAAGCTTTTGAGCTTCAGTTGGTTACATTGAGTCAGGGTTTTGTTGACCAACGAAACGAAATCGGACACCGGGTGATTATCAATGAAAATGAGAAAAGGAACCGAAGTCCAAAGATGCTTCCATCGTTTGGAGAGTATACCTGTTCTAATGACGATTTTTGTGGTGGATAAACGAGAAAGGATTTCCAGAAGCAAGCAATCAGGCAATGCACTGACTCGATCTTCTTTCTCCTCCTCTGCGACTTTGTGTAAGTTTATCAGTTTTGGTGAAATTTTAGGTTTATTGTACATGTCCTTGCGCCATTTCCATGGCGGAAACAAAGCTCTTCTCTTATGTTTAAACATTAGATATCCTTTGTCCATTTTAACCTACTTGTAGCATTTATTAATTATGGTATGTCACTATGTCATATAATTCCTATTTGTAATATATATTCTTACTAATCTATATCTATATACTATATTTATACTACTATATAAAATATTTTGGTTAAATATTAAAAGTTTAGAAGGTACTAATTATAATGTTTAATGTACAATCTATTATGCAAAGAACACTAATTATATCAAGAAATCAAACATTAAAACCGTGACATACAATATGTTATGCAAAGAATAGTAATTATCTCAAGAAATCAAACATTAAAACCGGCTACTACAAATTGAGGACGTATTTATGAATAATTACAAATTTTAAAATTCAAATTCTCTCCATCCCTCTCTCTGTATAGATCTCATTATCTCTTCAAAATCATCAATGTCTAATAAAAATCAACATTGCAGAATATCTTTGGAAATTAAAACCTCTTGAACTTTTTGATTGTTTTTACATTTCATTATTTTGCTACTTTGTTACAATTGATGGCAGGCTAGGTTGACTCAGACATTGTTGTTTTTTGGTGTACAATTTGGATTTTGAGCTATGTGATTTTGATTTTTGACGACTTGGAAATGTAGGATGCCCTAATTATTCTCTTTAACTCCTTATAATCACTCACTATGAATAAATTGGTAGCATTGATTTGTGTCCATAATCAGTTTTGGTTTTATTGAATGGTATTTTAGGTATTTGACAAAGAGTTGAGTATCTAATGTTCTTTACTCTGTTTTTGCAGCTTCATCAACTGGTTCAAATAGCCTGTTGTTTTGGACGAAATTCTTGGCTGATCATCTATTGGAATCACTGATTCCATTCCAACAGAGACAATTTATGATATCCATGTAAATAAGAAGTAAGAACCATTAGTAATCATAGAAGTGGATTCCGTGATTCCAACTGAATGCATACAAATGGAGTTCTATTGGTATCTAAACTTACTTATTCAAGTATATTATGATGTAACTGAACTTTTCATATTTGACTCTTTTTTGTTGAAACCATATTATCTATGTTTAATGAGACTCAATCGGGATGATTATGCTGAAATAGTTGCTACATGATTCGAGAATGAATATGAAAATGACCTTGTGGTGCATATATTTATAAACTACCAACATTCTAATGTATTGTTGTTTGGGTATACCTTTTAGTTACTAATCTTTGTTACGTTGAATGTAATTGTCATGTAGATACGAATTTTGGATATTTTGTAAAGTTTACTTTGATAATTGTTATGTAGATACAAGTCACAATGGTATAACAGGTACAAAGTATGAGGTTGATTACATTAAAGTGTGAAAAATGGTTTTTTTGGGTAGATTCAAAATAGTTGGTTAGCCATAACTAGCTGAATATATCCCCAATATATCATTGCATAACAACACGCTTACCAAAACAAGAAGCATAAAACTCTAAGTCAATTGTAATTAAGTCCATGTTAGGTAACTTTTCATAACCACTTGTCTGGAAGACTACATAAAAAACATTATAATTGCTATTCTAATTGGGAGATGATTTGTACACAACAAATTTTCTCGGTACATAACAATTGGTGCTTTATAATGTTGTACTGTACAACTCTATAAAGCATAAATTGTTGTGTATGGCAAAACACTGTTGTGTACGAATCATTTCCCGTTCGAATTGCTCAAGAAAATGCCACAACTCATAAAGAATGGATATTACAAACAAAAACGAAGCTTCTAAACGAAAATTAATGAATCAGAGTAACAACTAATAATGCATTGACTAAATAAAGAAAGATCACAAGAAACAGTAGATTGATCAATACTTTAAAATAAGAAATGATCCAAAACACAAATGAGAGGACCCAATGAACCCAAGTAAAACTTACAAAAACAAACAGAAAGAAATATGAAAGTATTTCACAATAACAATAATGCCTAAACATGAATCCAAAGCATCACCAATCTCACGGAATCACTCTGAATGGCTCTCACTCTCACACTGAGACTCAATATGAAAACCATCAGGAAACTTGATATTTGATGGAACAACGAAACCTTTAGCTTTTAAACGAGACAGAACCTACAAACAAAACAATACAGGTGAAAAGGACAACAAAAATTAGAATCATGAATTGCATATTTACATGTATGATTAATCATGAATAAAGAAAACTAAAATATAGCTATGACATCTCGTAAGAAGTAACAGAGAGAAACCTAAGAAGCAGAAGCAAAGACACTCATGCTCCATAAGTGAGTTTTAAACAGCAAAATGAGAAAACGCCATATAACAATTAATGATTAACAAATAAGAATGTTTAGGTGGGTTTGTTTGGAGTTTCTTCTGCAATGTATATTTTGGATGTGCAATTTCATAGTGTTATATAACTAGGACTTGAAGCAGATAATCAGTTGATAGGAGCTAATGATAGTTAAAAGTCAATCTTTAATTCAGTAACTACTTACCTTCTTTATTTTTTTGACCCTAAACAATCAGAAATCATAATCATAATCATTTTTATCTAAACACTCAAAATGTACATTTTATCAAGGGATAAACAATAAAGTACTAATAAAGCTAATGAGTCAATAATTTTTACAAAGATATAAATTGTCAGAGGAAAAGAAATTTTACCTTGGAACAGAAACTTCCAATTTTAAGCTCCTTGACATGGGATAGATTTAGTATAAATCTTTTAAGCATCTCTTCTCTACGCGTTCTCTTCCAATGCCACAAGTTTGTATAATCTAACTCAGCTTCAACTAAAGAAGACACATTTACCAAAAAAAGATTCA